CTGAAATAAATGAACTTTTCCACAACATTCTAATTTATTGAGATGCACCTGTAAATGAGAGTGACTCCTGGTTAACGTATTAAAAGGGGTTGTGCACACACACTATTTAGTGTGGTATTTTTTGACAATATTAACTCATCATGACAGTAAAATAGGTAATTCTAAGTCAATATACTGCAGTATTTCCTCTCTCAATCAGTAGAAAATATGGTTAACACCCGGTCATGCATGAAAAAAAAAAAACACCGTCATATACCATGAATATACCGTGATATACATTTTTGGTCATACCGCCCAGCACTAATATATATTTATATTCATCTAATTTATATTATATAACATATACTGTATATTTAATACATAAACATTACATATTTTTCATAAATATATACATGCATGTGTTTGCATTTATATATACATAATAAATATACACAGTACACACACATATATTATGTGAACATAAACTTTTATTTTGGATGCAATTACACCACAGATAGATAGATGATAGATAGATAGATAGATAGATAGATGGATGAATAGACAGACAGAGAGATAGATACGTAGATGTGTGTGCTGTTGTGCTGGTGACTAAAGGAGCAGTGAGGGTGTGGAGAGGATGTGGGTAATTGTTCATTACTGGACTCCAGCTCTGCCACTGGTCTTCACAAACAGTTTTTTCAGGTGTTTTTCAGGTTTGGAGTCTGCTGAGATGTAACACTGAAAAAAATACACCGGCTACTACAAACAGCCGTATCGCTAACAACCTGCACATGCTGAAAGGTCTGACCTGCAGGTCTCACCATAAACGACATCCTTCACTTCCTCCTCCTTCAAGCTAAAATATCATTAGTGGTGTTTGCAAAGGCCAGCATCACTATCCCTATTGCTTGGGGTTATTTTAAGCTAATATAGGAGAAGTGTGCTGTAACTTTAATAGGCATTTACACAAATTCGCATGATGGATGAAAAAATGAAAAGTCTAATAGACTCATATGGAGTCAACATCTGTCCAAGTTATCAATGAATCTTGGGATTCAAAACACCTTATCAGCTGCATAGCAATCACCTTAAACTGTTTTGCTTTAGCATTTACAATACATAGGAATTAAAATGCATAGTCTTTATTACTGCAGTGTCATCATCAAACCTCTGGGCTCACTTCGGACAGTACACATCTGTTAGCAACAGGTAATTTGGCTCTGACATTTAGATGTGCCATCTCTCAAAGGCTGACATTAATCAAAATCTGTTCATTATGAAGAAAATGTCGCCTCATGATGCAATTCCATCTCAGCATGATCACCAGCAGCAAAGCTCTTATGAGAAATCAGCATACGAGTAGCTGTAAAGTTGCAAACGAAGACAAATGTTGTTTGTTTACAGTCGAGCCAGCTGTTGTTTGATGTCAGTTGTGTTGCTTGCCCAAACTAAATACTAGTTAATTGTGATCTGAAAGCAGTGCTACAACTGCATAACACATGGCTCTCAGCTGGCAACTCTGCAGTCAAACTTCACAAAGTTCATTTTGATATTATTTTGGATCATAATGAATTAGTTGAGAGTATGTGACATCTGTAAAGTTCAAGCTCTGAGAATAATCTATATCATGTGGCTATGATATTTTTATGTTTAATTTGGAAAAAAAAGTGCAAGGATGCATTAAATTTATAAAAATGACAGTAAAGACATAATATTAAAAAAATTGTTTTCAAATAAATGCTTTTCTTTTGAAGTTTCTATTCATTATAAAATATCACAATTTCCACATTATATCATCATATTATAATTATTTTTGAAGGATCATGTGACACTGAAGACTGGAGTAATAATGGCTGCTGAAAATTCAGTTATAACTACAATAAGCAAGTTTGATTATTATATAAAGAAAATTTTCTGCTTAAAATATGAATGGAAACACAAAAAGGACATTTTACTGTAATTTTGGCAGGCTCTGAATGAAGTGTTTGATGTAACGTTTCATACGTAGGTTTTTGGACACCAGTACAATTAAAAATAGAAAAATAAATACAAAATAATTTGCCCAAAAATGAGAAATGAGGTTTCTCAGGAAAGCAACAGTACGCTGGCACAGGCTTGCGGTTTTCTTTGCAAGCTCCGCTCTATTCTCTGTCCTGTTATCACTGCAATCAACAGTTCTAACTCAGCCAAAGCCAGACAGAGCCCCTCCAATAACCCTGCTCTTCTTTTTCATTTAGAAATATGATAATGCTCTAATAGTGCCATCTGTTTCATATTGCAGAGCTTCTGGTACAAACAGTTTAAGTTCTGATGAACAGTAGAAGAGAGGAAAAGCAGACTGTAGCTTTTAACTAGATGTTCAAAGTTGCATTTCACTTTGTATTATTCGGTATTTTGAACTTATATGAACTTATATTACTTTAAATATATGTACAGTAAATAAAACATAGGTACTGTTTTTGTTGAAAGGCAATAAATGGTGATGGATTGTTAATGCATTCATTTAATGTTAAATAAAAGTGTGCTTTCCATCTGAATGCGTTTTCTTCTGTTTCTCTTTTTATATATTTTTTTTGTCTCTCATGAGCATAAACCTCCACTGAAAACACATTTACACATTTTTCCTTTGAATCCTTTGTAACACAATTGTGCAATTATCTTTATTGGGTTTAATTGCATTGACCAATATTTTTGGCAGGATATAAACCTGTTTTATGAGTAGAGAAAAATACCAGGACCACACATGTATTAAAGAAAAAAAGAGAGAAAGCAGCATGAGTTCATCTGAGGTTGGTAAAGTGTAGTGAGACTGCATGCGCAAACCTTTTCTTTTCACTTTGGAATTCTCTGCTGCCACTTGGGACTGAAAAAAAAGTTTATATATTTTGGAAGTAATAACATTCCTAACCCCTGTTGTGACTATGACGCTAGTGACTGTGTACCATTCCACAGTCCTTCTGAATTCTGCTGGTTTAACGGGATTGTTCAAACAAATTGTTTATAGCAGAGAAACAGCCTCTTATTTTTCAAAGCTGACACATGTTTCTGTGCTCACCTCTGAAAACTGATGTGTATTTAGTCACCAAATATGTGCATCAATCAAGTGGATCCCACACAAGACTTGAGCATCCTGGACCTTCACGCTTCACACAAATAAACAGAACCTTCCTCTAGAACGCACAAGAAGAGGCCAGAGTTTAAAATAAACCTTTTTTTTTGTCTCTTAAATTTTATTTATTGTTCCTTTATTTGCATACAATTGTGTTTCAGGGGGATCAAATGAAAAATGTGTAAAAATTTTATCCAGGAGGTCTGTGATCAAAAGACATCATAGAAATTATATAACAAATTAAACACACACACACACACACACAGATGGCAAGTTCATTTTATATAATTAATAAATAGATGCATTGCCACTTCCATCTTACTTCGTTTATTAAATAAAAGTATATACATTTTATATAATTTTCAATCAATGTTATAATCATTTGTAATATGTAATGTTTTTAGTATTGAGTTTAATATTTTTAGATCTTATGTTAGTGACTTTTTCCTTATTATGTGAGGCCTTTTAATTAAAATAACATTTGCTTTGATGTTGCTTATGCATTGATGAAGTAGTGAAACTACTGAGCATAATGGCATTTTTTAGCCTTGATCTTTTTCTTGTTTCTTACGTGGACAGACCTCTGTGTGTGTGTGTGTGTATTAATGAGGTAATTGATCTGGCTGTCATACAGGGTAAAATAGACCTGTTCTGGCACTCTGTAATTGGAGTTTAAATGTCCTTCAGCCCTCTGCATTTCAAAGGAGCAAGCACAAACACAGACACACACACACATGACATCTGTAAAGTTCAAGCTCTGAGAATAATCTATATCATGTGGCTATAATATTTTTGTTTAATTTGGAAAAAAAAGTGCAAGGATGCATTAAATTTATAAAAATGACAGTAAAGACATAATATTAAAAAAAATGTTTTCAAATAAATGCTTTTCTTTTGAAGTTTCTATTCATTATAAAATATCACAATTTCCACATTATATCTGATCCAACTGCTGCCCACCCATAACTTACTTGCTTCTTATGATCTCAATTGTAAAAATGACACTAGTTGGAGGGACATCAAAGAAATGTCCCAGCACGGCTGTTAAATGCTTTATGTCAGCATTTCTGACGCTTCTCCACGCATTACTTGATCATTTATATCTTGGCGACATTGTCTTCCAAGGCTGTGTACAAGCTTTTATAGGAAAATCTTGTCTCCATTGTCCAAGGGTGAACGGAAGAGGAATGTGAGGGGGAAATGATTTGCACACACATTTATCCCTTTAAATGAGCATAGACTTCAGATGTTTTATGTAAGGATAATTATGATTACTACAGACTAACCCAAACTCTACTCTGAAAAAGAAAAATAATTTAAAAAAGCAATGATAATAAAAACAAACAGGAAAAAGAGTAAAGTAGCTTACTATTACTACTTTTAGCAAATTGGCTTGTTTATACGGTTCATTTGAATACATTTCTGATTGAAAACCTTTAAATAAAAACTAATTCACAGGTAACTGTTTTTTAAAGTAAAGTTTTGTCGAAGTACTGACTTTTTTTTTTTTTTTGTCTCCATGTAAATTTGGCTTGGATTGCTTTCTTGTTTTATTTTTTTATGGATGGATTTGGACACCTTTCGGGAAATGATTCACATTCAATCAACTCCGCAAATGCAACAGCACTAATGCGATATGTTTAGTCTGAATGCAGTCTAATTAATGGAATAATATAAAGTGATGTTTTCATATTTTATGATTGATAGATTTGTTCATTTGTGTGTTAAAGCTTTTTTTTTTTGCAAACTTTATTTTACTCTACTTCTACTTTTCGAAGACCTAAATTATCAGCCTTTCACGAAAAGATACTGAACAGACTCTGTCGGTGAGGAGAGCACCTCACTTTGATCTCGCTATCTCTCTCCTTCCCACCATCTGATTCCTCTCACCTTCAACATGCTGAACACGGCCGCGATCATCTCTTCATCTCACGCTTTCTAATTCAGTTTAAACGCAATCACACAAACACATCAAAAGGTGTTGATGAAACAAGTCTCAATTTGGATTTCATTGCAGTCTGTTTTAATTGAAAATTGTACGCAGGATTCAACCTGTTCATGAAAAGATGCTCTACATACAGGAATCTGTTAACGCCCGTGACGGCCTTTGGGATTTCAAAATTGTAAGCTCTGCAGCAGCATGTGAGCCACACATACGGTGTAATGATTCACTTTGGTTCTCTGTTGGAAATTATGTAGAATAGAAGAGTGAAATGCATTAGGGCTAAAAGTCCCTCTTATAGAAAATGTTTTAGAAAATGTTGTGGAAAAGCTATTTTTAATAATATGCAATGATGTATAAATGTAATTATGTATTTGGGTATTTTGAATCAGGGTGTTTATGTATTACCATTTTTTTTAAAGATTTTTGTAATGAAAGAAGTATTTTATTCTTATGCAAACCAATGCTGCATTTATTTGATCAAAAATACAGTAATACAATTGGTGTTCAAAAAACATTTCTTATTATCATCATCATATGTTTTACTTATTTTTTTTTTATTGAAAAGTTAATTTACATACATTTGCCAGTTTTTTAAAAGTAAAAAATCTCTTTACATCCTTATTCAAAACATGTAAGTATATAATAAGTTTTGAAACAATTTTTTCTGACAATTATAATAGTTTTTTCTCTTTTTACGCACACATGTAGTTATGTAAGGAATAATTGACGAAGGACTTTTGAATTATTGAAACACCCAAGGCGATGATACGACTTCTGCAATGCTACCACCTCCATACTAAGCAATATCATTTAGCTTTTAAGTAGCAAGCAACAAGTTTCTGTGCTCATACGTGTCTGTGTCCATGCAGAGAGTGAAAGTTTCTCAACCCGCGGCCCGTCACAAATTCAAATGCGGCCCACCGTGCTGAACACAATTTAAAAAAATAACTTTCAGTTTTACAATTCATTTTAGTTTTTACATTAAAAAATGTACTAAACAAAAATAAGCTATAATGTTTTTATGTAAAATAATTTTGTTTTTCATATAGCCTATTATTTTCAGACATGAGCTGACCTGTAGGCTACTCACGTAATTAATGTTACGCATTTAACGAACACTTACAAGTGTGCAGTTTGGCAGAATTCAATTTAAATAGTCATCAGCAGCCATTAGTTCGGTAAAATTGAGCATCAGAAAAATTTAGCTTCCGTGCGCGTCTTATAGACTGCAAGTTACAATCGCAACTTCATTGTGCTGTTACTCCTTTCGAGACTAATTTTACAAAATTGGTCAGCTGCCGACAGCTTCAGGTGTTTTATTAATGGTGAGTAGAATTATTTATTTATTTATTTCAATGAATGTACTTAGATATCATAACATTTAGGCTATAATATTATACATCTGGTTGGTTTGTATTGGTGACGTAATATATGAATGATATGCATGCGGCCCATGAGACTTGCACTTGGACCATAGTGCGGCCCAGTGGAAAAAAAGGTTGAGAACCACTGCTTTAGAACAATGTCAACCAGTCAGAATGAAGCATGTGACAGCCCTGTAGTATAATAAATTATAATTGTATTGCTTCCTAAATTTGCAATAGTTCACCCAAAAATGAAAATTATTACATTAATTACTCACTCTCATGTCGTTCCAAACCCATAAGACCTTCGTTCATCTTCAGAACACAAATTAAGATATTTTTGATGGAATCTGAGAGATCTCTGACCCTCCATAGACAGCAATGATATTACCACGATCAACACACAGAAACGTAGCAAGGACATCTGTAAAATAGTCCATGTGACATTAGGGGTTCAACTGCAATTTTATGAAGCTACGAGAATACTTTTTGTGCGCAAAGAAAACAATAATAACATAATTTATTCAGCTGTTCTTCCCGAGAGCTTCAGCAGGAAAGTAGCTGAAGAGTTTCAGAGAGCTCTCAAGATTCCATCAAAAATTTCTTAATTTGTGTTCCGAAGATGAACGGAGGTCTTACGGATTTGGAACAACATGAGGGTGAGTAACTAATGACAGAATTTTCATTTTTGGGTGAACTAACCCTTTTGTCCCCTAAGTCTTTTGTGATGACCTTATAGATCAGGACAGGTTTGCTGTGGTTGCTATTAAGTGTCTAGAATTTTTTTTTCTTTAGTTCCATTGTACAAAAATGCACAGTAATTTTAGTAGTAGATTGTGTAGTAATGGTGCAGCAGTGTTTGTTTTAAGTAGCCCTGAATAGTTTTCATGGCAGTATTGTGACTGTGAGAATGGTTGCGCTGTAGCTGTGAGTGTTGGGTGGATGCATGCTGTTTGTTTAGTCTGTAGGGCTCTGAGTTATGTGCCCTCCTGTAGAGAACCGACTAAAAGTGAATCCTTCGCTTTGTGCTTTGACCGCTATCGACTCAAATCAACCTCAGATTCTAACTCAATCCAGACCTCTCTCTATTATTTCTGTCTCTGTCTTTTTCCCGCTCTCGCTCCTTGGGGTACACCTAAGTCGAAATGCTTTCATTAATACACTAAATTCTTCCCAAACGCTGCAAAATGCTGGTTTGAATTACTTTTGTTAATTCCCTTCTTTTCTGAAGGAGGCAGTTATAACGCGGGTCATGCTTGTTTAGAGAGGCTGCAAATGGGAAACGATACACAAACGGGGGCCGTGAGACCGCTGCAAAACAAATACGAGTGGATTCGGATTGGCTGGCTCCAGAGGAAGTAGGGCCTCTGGGCGCTTCCTAGTGGCTAGAAACCAACACTGGCGGCCATCTTGGCTCAGTGGCTGGCAGTTTCTGCTGGCCTGCTTTCAGGATAGAAGGGCTTTCGTGCTGCTGCACTGCAGATCGGTCACACTGCTTTAGAGGTCTCTCATGTATTATAGGGGCTTATCAAACCATTAATTCTGCTGTGGGGTAATGCGTATATGTGTGTGTCTTTATTTAGAAGAGATGGAATGAGAGATCAATCAAAATGAGACTTTATCTGTCCCAGAAATTCGACATGCACATATTGGATGTTTTACAGGTAGCGATAGTGTGATATTAAGTTAATATCTCATTAAATATATTGTGCTATCGTAAATAATGTACAATATATTGTACTTTTTCTTGGTAAAATGTTATTACAGTAAAGCCCCAAGTCATTCAGAGCTTATATTGTTCCTAGTGCTGCTTCTGTCATTTTCATAAAGAATACTGTTATCAGGAAAATCGTTAGTAATTTCATCATTTGTCATTATGAAGTAGTGAATCATATATTTGAATGTAATAAGTTACCAGAGCCTGTCCAGTCTTTAATATACACTATTCTAACCACTGATCTTTCAGCTGATTCCACTTTAATTCATTCTCCAGTATGATTTTTGCTCTTCATGCTCAGGCTATTTAGCAAGTGGATATAGCGTCATTTCCTGGACAGGCTAATCTTGTGCTCTAAGTAATGATTCATGGTTCAACATAGTTATTCGATTTGGACTAGGCCTAATATGTGTCTGGAAAGCTTTGCCCTAAGGGTAAAATGATGGCAGGAAGGAATTTGATCTCTGGGATCACTGGGATCAAACTGCAACCTTTGTGTAACCTGTCGGGATTCTTATCTTCTTGAAATACCTTTCACAAATGGATGTGAATAAAGTTTTAACTGACAATAATTGTTATGCCACCTGTTGTACTTAAATTGTAGATCATCTGTGTGATTTCTGAAATGGCAAATGTTGTAATGAATTCAATGAAGTTCATGTAGCAATCTAATGATAATGACATCAATACCATAAGCCCTGCTTGTACAGTATGAATCATAGGCTTGTTTGGACATATTTAGCCAGTTCCAAGAAGATATGCAATTGTCATATCCAGGTGCGGGGCCATATAAAGGCCAAGGTGTTTTTAGTCCACCTAGATTACTCAAACAAGTCTGTTCTACTGTTCAAAAGTTTGGTAATAATGCTTTTGTTCAGCAAGAAAGTGTTAAATTGATCAAAAGGAACAGTTAAGACATATACGGTTGCAAAATAATGTTACAACTACAACAACAGCAACAAAAATCTGTTTCTAACAAATGCTCTTCTTTTGAACTTTCTATTCGTTTATTAGAACTCTGTTCTACTGTTCAAAAGTTTGGTAATAATGCTTTTGTTCAGCAAGAAAGTGTTAAATTGATCAAAAGGAACAGTTAAGCAATATACTGTTGCAAAATAATGTTACAACTACAACAATAGCAACAAAAATCTGTTTCTAACAAATGCTCTTCTTTTGAACTTTCTATTCGTTTATTAGAATGATTTCTGAAGGATCATGTGACACTGAAGAATGATGCAATGGCCGATGACTGATGCTTTTTAATTTTCCATTTTAAAATATATGAAATATATTAAAATATAAAAGTTAACTGTAATAATATTTGACAATATTACTGTTTTTACTTTTTGTTTGATCAAAAAAAAGTTTAACTTTCATATATTCTAGATTCATTACATGCAAAGTAAAACCCCCTTTCAGTAATGACCTTCTGTGACTTATTGTCTTCTGGATCATTGCCAAGTCAGCAGTCTTCCCCATTATTGTGGTTTCAATGAACAAAAGATACCCGGAATTTATACAGTAGGGATGGTCATTTAATGAAACTCAACTGTAAATATTCTAATGTTTTGAGATGCAGGACTTTTGACTTTCATGAGCTGTAAGCTCTAATCATCTAAATTAAAACCAAAAACTTTGGCTTATAAATTGTGGAATTTCCTGCCCTCTGAGATTAGGAATGCAGAATCCCTTAGTGTTTTTAAATCGTCCCTTAAAACTTACTTTGTTAGGGTAGCTTTTATGTGATTAATTCATTTTTTTATTATATTGGCTTTGTATTGGAACCAGTGACGCCATTCCTCCAAGGCTG